AAGAACAAGACCAACGCACTTCTGCTCCACGCCTCCGGTGTAATGCCAACATGGAGGACGGAATTAAAGAACTTCTGAAGGACTTCAAGTACCGGTTTTCCACCCGCTTTCAGAAGCTCCGCTGTTATTGCATCCTCTCCTGGGGCCTTGCCGTTTTTAAGGTGTAATAGTGCTTGTACTCAATCATCTGAAATCCCTCTTTGTTCGCCTTTTTAATTATCCGCTTGATAATATTCATCAAGTTAAATTTCTTGATGGATATATATTATTTACATGATAGACTGTTAAATAAATAACACATTAGTCGGTTCTGTCGTTTTTAGCAATACCACCTAGTGGCTGCCGAGGAAACTGAGTTGAGGCCACGCCTCCTGCTAGTTCCATCGCGCCTGAAATCGTATGGGGCTTTGGATCGCTCATATGTCGCTAGTGGTTTATTGATAATAAACTATCCGGTATGGTATCAATAACCATTTATTTGTCTTTTATGTAAAACAAAAAATTAATTAATATAAAAAAATTAATTTTTGTTTGTTCGTATTTTATTTTATTTCATACCGTTCATCAGATTGCGCTAAAACTTTGTCAACTTATTGCTTGCACTTGCGCGAAGGTTATGGGCATAGTACAACCAACTTACAGTAAGTGACGTGCGTATCGTACCCGACAAATTATTATTTTTTTATAGGAGAGGGGGCAAACGAGCATGCGGCTCACCTGAAGGTAAGTGACTACCGCCGCCCATGAACAGCTGCAACAACAGGGAGCGAATCGCAGATGCGTTGCCGGCCTTTTAAAAAGGAGTACGCTCTTTTCTTGAAGGTCCCTAAGTCGTATCGGTCCGGTAATCGATTCCACAAGGAAGTCGTGCGAGGAAGAAAACATCTTCTAAATCACACAGTGGTGGATCGCCAATCATCCAGATGGTGTGGATGGTATCGGGAGTTCTGCCGCGATGTGCGTTCATGAAGTTTGGTGGCTGGGATTAATCCGAACAATTCCTCAGAGCACTCCCCGTGGTAGATGCAAAAGAAAATGCAAAGGGATGCAACATCTCTTCGCAGTGGCAATGAATCGAGCCGATCGGAAAGGACTCGGTCGTCGACGATTCGAGCCGCTCTGCGCTGGATGCGGTCAAATGGAAGGAGCTGGCACTGGGGAGCCCCTGCCCAGAGATGGGAACAGTATTCCATGTGAGGCCGAACCTGCGCCTTGTAAAGTTGCCGGCATGAAATACTGTCCCACTCTGCTGAGCACGCCAAGCTTTTTGGAGGCAAATTTGGCCTTCTCTTCCAAGTGACCACGAAACTGCACGTCACTCGATATGTCGACTCCGAGGATTCCGATACTGGCTGAGGCAAGAAGGGGAGTGCCTTGAAACTGAGGAGATACGACAAAGGGGTTCTTTTTAGCGGTAAACGCGCAAACTTGTGTCTTCTGAGGATTAAACTGGACTAGATTTAGTCGCCCCCAATCCGAGACTTTGTTCAGCAAAGACTCGACTTCGGACACAAGTTTGTTCCGGTACTTGGCGACGTTTTCCCGCGAAATATTGGCACGGCCGGTGTATAGAGCATCACCAGTGCTGTCATCCGCATAGCAATGAATGTTACCAGTTAGCAACATATCATTGATATGCAGAAGAAACAGCGTTGGTGATAGCACGCAGCCTTGTGCAACACCAGCGTTAATAGGCTTGTCGTCGGAGCATGCATCGTCTACAACGACCTTGATGCTCCGATCTGCAAGGAAGCTAGTGATCCAATTGCACAATTTCTCGGGAAGCCCATAGGAAGGGAGCTTCGAAAGAAGCGCTTTGTGCCAAACCCGATCGAATGCCTTCGCAATGTCCAAACCAACGGCCAACGCTTCCCCCTTGGACTCAGTAGCAGTACAGACTGCAGGACTCAGTAGCAGACTCTGGAAGCAGTAGCCTCTGCCCATCAATGGGTCCGGTAGAGCAGAAGATCACCAGCTGATCGATCCTGACGAAAACCTTATTGGCGGTCACTAATCAGCTGGTGATCCTCAAGGTACCGTATGAGCTGGCAGTTAATAATTGATTCCATTATTTTGGAGAACAAGGAGGTGATTGCGATAGGCCTATAGTTGGACGGATCTGAGCAGTCGCCTTTTTTAGGGATCGGGTGGACAAAAGCTGTCTTCCATGAATTTGGGACTACGCCTTGGGAGTAGGAGTACCGGAAAAGACGCGTTAGGACCGGTGCCAACTCCAGAGCACACGTCCTCAGCATAATTGGAGGGGATTCGGTCAGCCCCACTCGACTTCTGGATGTCCAGGGAGAGGAGTGCTTTGCGAACCGAGCGCTGTGAGAACAGCACATCCGGCATGGAGCACTCACACCGCGGGATGGTTAGCGGTGTTTCCCCCCCGTCATCAAGAGTCGAGTTGGACGCAAAAAGGGAGCCTAAAAGGTCGGCTTTGTCTTTTGCGTCTTGGGCCAGTGAGTCGTCCTCCCTGTGCAGATATGGTAGTGATGGCTTACAGAAATTCCCTTGGACAGCCTTGGCGAATGCACGGGTTCCCAAAGGAAGGCGAACTAGTTTCTCGCCAATTCTGCCTATGTGCTCTGACTTTGCCTTGGCAATAATATGGCAATAATCTTCTGAAGAACCTGGAGGCGAAGTTATACTTCTTTTTAAGTGTGTTGGTGTTTACATCCCATGTCGCCGAAGCCGCAGCCCAGGCTTGATAACACTCCTGCTTACTGCGTAATGCAGTTTTACAGGAGCGACCAAACCAAGGCTGAGATCTGCCTCCGATTGGTACCACAGATGATGGAATAAATAGTTCCATTCCCTGTAGCACCACATCAGTGACAGAGTCAGCAACAGCGCTGGGATCATCCGGCGAGAAGCAAACCCGCCCCCATGGGTAGGATGCAAAGAAAGACCGCATTCCGTCCCAATCCGCCGACCTGTAATTCCAAACACGGCGCCAACGTACAGAACGCAACCGCGAGGGGAGCGTGAGTGGCACCACACTCCGGATCAGACAATGGTCCGAAGAGCCTAGAGGGGCATCGACTGAAACCTGATATCCGTCCGAATGAGAGGTCAGCAGAAGGTCCAACAGGGAAGGTGTATGATCCTCCACATCTGGAATCCGCGTAGGCGAAGTAACCAGTTGTGTCAGACCATATGCCAAAGCAAAGTCATAAACAGATCTCCCCGCATGATCGGTTAAACGTGAACCGAGCCATTCGGCGTGGTGGGCGTTAAAATCGCCAAGGATCACGATCTGTGCGGATGGGACCTGTTGTAGCAAAGAATCTGTAGCCATTTGGACGTGGTCAATGAGTCGGTCTGTTTCGGCATTACCGCTATGGGACCTATAGAGGCACCCGTAGACGCGCGGATGGTCGTCGCTGTCTACGCGTAGCCATAGGATGGACAGGTCTGAACCTTCAATACTGCCGAGGTGTCGAGAACAGATGTCCTCTCTGACATACACGCAAATTCCAGCCCGAGGCACAAAGGAGTGCTCCAATTTGTACCCCGGGTAGGAGAGATACGAAATATCAGCCGGAGAGGAAACCTGCGTCTCGGTCAGAAAGAGCAAGGCCGGCTTTGCCGTCTCGAGATGGTAGTGGAAGGCGTTTAGGTTCGAGTGAAGTCCCCTAATGTTGCAGAAATTCACGGATAGCGTGGCAGGGATCGCCTTGGTCTTGTAGCTCAGTTTGCCCCGAGCAGTTATGTTTTTGAGCGGAATCTTGCCCCCCCCCCCCGCCTCCCCAGAACACGCGGGGCAGCCTGAGCACCCACGCTCAGGAGTGGAATAACATGGTCGTGGATGCTCAGCGAGAGATTCTCTAGGTGTGCTGGTACCCTCCTGGGGTAGTCTAACGTGTAATTCCGCTACCATGTTCATGGGGGGGGGGGGGGACCTGCTACGTGGTACCACCGTTAATATTATATATAATTTATTTAAAAGTTATAATATATTATTCAATTTCAATGAATAATTATGTTATCATATACAGTAATAATCTATTTTTTTTTCGTAATTTAAAATGATATTTTCACAATTTTTTTTCTGCGGCAGCAACGCGCCTGGTATTAGCTAGTATAGTATAAAAATTATAATTTTAATTAAAAAAAATATTATTTAATGAATTCATGTATTGTGTTCAACAAATAGTTCTTTTTTATATTATGTATAATTTTTTATATATATTGAATATTTACATAACCCAATCAGATCAGAGTATTATTTAAATACCCCACAATAATAATATTTAGCCATTTAATTCCCAATTTTTTAGCAACAGTCATTATTAGTAATATTTAAAATATGATTTGTCACTACAGTTTTTACTTAATGTCATATTTTAAAATCATAGAACTAGGGCCACCGGCGGACGGGAGGGGAGAAGCCATAGCGTTTTTACCCGATACAAAATTGTTCATCATTTTTTGCGGATGGAAATCTGCGTATTACAAAGAATAGAAGTTTAAATTAGAAATTGAATGGATAATTGTACAATCACCTACGTTATCCACGTCTTACAATTAATTTTTTCGCATAATATATATTTAAAAATATAAAATTGAAACTAATATTAAACTTAATTTGACTATATAATATATATAAGCATTTTTAAATGTAATATATTGACTATTTTAAATATGGAAATCCTCTAAGTAGTCCATAGATTACTGTATATATACTAGAGTAAGTAGTCTGTGGGTAGAGGAATGACGTTCAGTCTATGGTCTCAGCTTTCAAAATCAAAATAAATATATATACACGTCTATAGTGAAGTGAAGTTTAGCACTTAATCATTTATCTAAACGTAATCGATGTTACGACAGCATATAAATGAAAGGTGCAGTGCATTAATCCACCAGTTGAACTACTTTAGCGAGACGTTCGGCTACAGTGCGAGCCAACGTTCGACGAAAACTTCGATTCGAAAACTTTATTTATCAATTTGTATTCGTTTTTGTGTCAGCAGTGTTTTCTAATATTACATAAAATGCCCTGTCCGTTTTTGGGATCACTGAACCAAGCGTTCGTGAGGAACTATGGTTCATCACTAATGAAGCAGTATGGTAATTACTGCCCAATTATTTCTCGAGGGTTTCGTAGTTTGGGTAAAGATGAGACGAAATGCCCCTTTATTCAACAGAATAATAACTCTATATCTGAAGCACCAAAGGAGATGACTGAGGACATTGTAGAGACAGTCCAACCATACAAGTATGAGAATTTTTTCAATGAACAAATAAGTGCTAAGAAGAGAGATTACTCCTACCGTATATTCAGAAAGGTATCGCGATTAGCTGCTGACGGTATGTATCCTCAGGCTCTAGAAGGTCAAGAATACCGACAGGTAACTGTTTGGTGTGCCAATGATTATCTTGGAGCATCACGCCATCCTGTAGTTCAAGATGCTGCAATTTCCGCAATCAAATCTTATGGTACGGGAGCTGGAGGAACACGCAACATTGCAGGTAATTCTCAACTGACTGAAAAACTTGAAGGTGAAATAGCCAAATTGCACAAAAAGCCTGCTGCTTTAATATTTAGTTCCTGTTTTGTTGCAAATGATGCAACTCTGTCTACATTAGCTAGAATACTTCCTGGGTGTATAGTATACTCAGATGCAGGTAACCATGCTTCAATGATTCAAGGAATAAGAAACAGTCGAGCAACAAAACATATTTTCAAGCACAATGACCCAAAGCATCTTCGAGAATTGTTATCAAAGTCACCAGCTGGTGTGCCCAAGCTAGTTGTTTTTGAAACTGTACACTCTATGAGTGGGGCAATTTGTCCTCTAGAGGAAATGTGTAACATAGCACATGAATATGGAGCTTTAACATTTGTAGACGAAGTCCATGCTGTTGGTTTGTATGGAAAACATGGTGCTGGTATTGGTGAAGAGAGAGGAGTGCAGCATTTGATTGATATTGTATCTGGAACTTTGGGTAAAGCATATGGGAATGTGGGCGGGTATATAGCGGGGTCATCATTACTCATTGATACAATACGGTCTCTAGCTCCTGGATTTATCTTTACCACTGCATTACCACCACCAGTGCTGGCAGGATCATTAGCTGCCATTAGACTCCTCGCAAGTGAAGAAGGAAGAACTTTAAGATCAAAGCACCAGGCTATTGTCCGTTACTTCAAACTCTCTTTGCTTGTAGCTGGTTTGCCGCAGTTACCATCAGTGAGTCACATAGTGCCTGTTCCTATTCAAGGCGCGGATAAAGTGGCATTGGTAGCAGAATCATTGATGAAAAGAGGACACTATGTCCAAGCAATAAATTATCCCACCGTGGCTCGTGGCGAGGAACGTCTCCGCTTCGCCCCGGGCCCCTATCATACGCCAGAAATGGTGGATAGCCTTGTGACTGCCTTAATAGAATCATTCCATGAGAATAACATAAGTTTCGACCAATTTATGATCAATGGAGCGTGTCGCGAGTGCAGCCTGGAATATAAAGTTGACATGATGCAAGATGAACCTTTCAAGTTTCAAGTTCAGGTTGCATAAATAAATATATAACTTCCACTGTTTATGTGTGCAAGCATAAGAAAAAATGACAAAAAATTATGTTGGATATTATAAAGTTTATCTCTATTGTTCTCTATTTATGGCTCATGGTTTTCTGGTAGAGGAAATAAAAATATAAGTGCTGTACTTAAGTAAAATCTTTTATTTTAATCCCAATATTTGATAACGCCATCCCAGCCCGCTGTGAGCAGTTTACTGGGCTCGTGTGGGTGCCACAGTGCCGTTATGCAGACTCCGTCATGGGCTTTCCACTTTTTGTAGAGTTTCGTAGTTTTCCAATCCCATATGTAGCATTTACCATCTGCATCACCCGACACAAGATAACTGTAACAAGAGAAAATTTATTAAATAAAAAACATACATTAAACATTTTGTAATATATTTTTGTATTTTACAACTTAGCATAAATGTTACATCCTCAGTAATAACTTCTTTTTTAATAATTTGAAGTAACACTGAGTTAAAATCTGTTATTACGTATCTTCAAAACATGTTACCAAACACATTCTTATGAAACCAACAAATGTAAATAGATTACAGCAACAGAATCGTAAACATTAAGCTCCATGATTAGTAAATACTGAGCCGTTGTGGTATATTGTAAGTTTGTAAGAGACTCAAGGCATAAAATGAGAAAGGGGCATACTTTGTATGCGGTAAGTATACTATACATAGTTTTATACGTGGTAGAACCATGCTGCAGCTATATTAAGGTTGTAGCACGAAAGGTACGGCTCGACCGGGGACAAACCACACTCCAATGGGATAACAGTGTAAAATAGTAGCTTAATTCTGCTGTATTTTGTATGGTGAGTGTAGAGAACCGATCACTCCTTTTTACTGGAAATGAGGCATTGAGGCATTCTATTTGCATCCTTTGGGGTGACTCCGCATATTATGCATTTTGATTTTTAATTGAGGATAAATGTATGGCTATGTATGTATGTATCTATGTATGTCTATGGGCCACAGCATCTATTTATCATCAGGCGGACTGTGTGCTACTTTGTCAACATTCTAGTAAGTAAATATACTACCAAAGTTTTCAAGTAATATAAATATAATTGAGACATTAAACACATTCGTATTGTTTTGTATAAAAGTATTTAAGTCCACTGCTAAATATAGTTGCCACTTGTGGTGGGCGGGTTGGCAACTGCAGTTTTTTTATTATTTTAAGATCTTAGTGGGAAAATTCTGTTGCCCCTCCTGTTTTAGTTTCCCTTTGTCACCTCTTACGACACCCACGACGATATGGGGTAGTAATTAATCTTGCATCGCCACTACACGGTAACGGACTGCGAACTTAAACATAGTGGATTCGAAAGCACATTCGACTGCTGTCGTGGACCACGCTTGACATAAGTATTTTAGCTTATTTTGCTACTACAGATAAGCTAAAATATTTGTTCTTTTTAACAGGAATTTATCAAATGATTTGGTAGTGTTAAGAGCACTGCTAGTTTCCTTTGGAAAAATACGAATGTTCACGAATTTTTTTAAATTTCCTTCACCTTCTTCACCATGTTATCCTTCAGTGTCGGACACGGTGTAAATCAGTGCTTAAAATTGCGATTAACAATTTCTATGTATAATTAAATTTAGGTAATGTTGTAGTAAATGTAATGTTCTGTATGTTTAAATTCAAAATTTGTCACGCATTTAAAATGATGGACGTAAACGCAAGTCACCATGACGAAAATTACCTTAATTATTATGTTCATACTTGGCTAATCATTTTTAACACGTAGAAACCGATTTCTTGTCTTCGAGGCCAGTAAACAAATACCGAAAGTGTAGACTCTACACTTTCGGTATTTGTACACTGTAGAGATTAAATATATAGGCTTAAAGCAAATTAGAGTCTATGCAAACTACTAAATAATCCATTAATAGTTGATAACTATGCCAGAAAAATATTACGGCTTGAATATTCCGCTTACATACATAGACCAAGGACAGAGAACAGCGTCAAAGGTGGATGATGTATGGTACTGCGATCTTCCGCGAGGTTACGACGAATACTCCGCAAAAATGGAAGAGGCGTTGTCCAGAAGTAGGCTGAATGGGGCAATAATGAAGTAAAAACATAAAAATGAAGAGAGAAAGGAAACGTTCCGCCCAGACTATCAAATTCCCATTTTATTACAATTTGGAAGCTCGGGTTTTTTCACTCTTTCAAAAAGATGCTTACTTCATGCTTCAAGATAATATAAGTTCATTTTGCATAGATCACATCAATATTAATAATTTTAAACTGAATGTAGCAGTGGTTAACTATGAGATTGAGACGTCGAACACCTCAGTCTCCCCGTGACTATGGCTGTAAAGTACTCGAAACATCGAAAATATAAAATAAGTTAATATACGCGATGAAATCCGTGCAAACTAGTCTCATTTAAATGTTTAGAATTTGCCGACATAGCCCAAAGGATGAGTAAGCTGAAGTAGCAATGCGCCGGCCATACAGCTCAAAGAACCGACTACCGATGGAGAAGAAAGGTTCACGAGTGGCCTCCTCGTGGCGGTAGGCGAAGTGTAGGGCGGCCCTCCACTAGATAGAGTGACGACCTGGTAAGACATGCAGTAAGTAGATGGATGCAGGTGGCTCAGTACCGTGGTTTGTGACATTCCTTGCGGGAGGCCTATGTTCAGCAGTGGGTTTGTAAAGGACTGTAATGATGATGATGAAACATAAGATGTCATTAAGCTTAATCGAATTTAATAAAGTTTAATAATGTTGATTATGTTATAATTACGCGTCGGATGAAATTAGCATCATTTGTTATTGAGACACGCGAGACAAAAGTTCACTAACGTTTTATATAGGTAAGTGTGATGTGGAACAAACAAGAAAACCTGAGAGAGTTCCATGGTAAGAGACAGTTACAAGTATCGGAAAGGATGGACATTTACGCTCGGAGATATGTTGACATTTAGATTTTAAAATATCGAATCCATTGCAACAACTTCCAAATCTAGAATCATATCGAGTTACTTTTGAATTTCTTTCCCCCAAACCCAAAAACTTTTATACCAAACACTTGAAATTTCGCATGCTTAATACTTTGATTACCTAGAATGTCAAATTTTACGAGTGAAACTGTTTTAGTTCTTGAATTATTAAGGTCTAAATGTACCATTTTTATCACTCACCCATTCAGTGAATCACTGACTTATCAAAAAGCTAGGGGACTTAGAAACTTGAAATTTGCCATCTAGTTCATTATTAGGCGTATACAAATTAAACAATCTGAAATGTACAAATCATCAATATTCGGTGTAGAATAAGTGTCGACAAAGTTATTGGTGTGGTTCATTTCAAGTACAGTTATTAAAACTAACCGTACCAATAATTTTGACGTTTATTCTTATCATCATCATCACTACATACTTTCACAAGTCCACTGCAGAACATAGGGCTACCTACCCCAAGGAATGCCACAAAGCTCGGTCCTGAGTCACCTGCTTCCATCGATTTTCTGCACGTCTTACCAAGTCTTGTCGTATCTTTACATATATTCTTATAGTTTAAATTTAAAAAAAAAACATGCTTGAGTGTCGTGTAACACTCGGTTGGAATGAAGTTCCTATCGTATATTATTATTTTATCATTCGTATTATATTATTGATTAACAAATACAAATACATGAATTACTAGCGCCTATTAAAATGAAGCGTCATTTAAAATAAAATAATATTTCTTTCATGGTAAAATAAGACAAAGTTCGAGGGAGATGGATATTATTCCATCTCGCTCCCTTATAGCCGCCAAGGCCGTCTACATTACGTCAGAAGAAGTGACCGAAAAATCTTACATTTTTTCTCGCCTAGTCCCATCCGCCAAATTCGTACTGTATACGATAAAGAACTGTACCAAAAAGAAAACAGTGAAGCGTAGGTCCAATAAAAACGTAGAATATCATATAGTTACAAAGATTAAAAAAAGGATAAAACTTTTTTAAGGTAATGAATTCTGAAGGTGGGTGACCAAGTACATAAATTGTGAAAAAGGGGGCTAAGTTCCCATATAACTATAATATAATTTCCCATATATCGATGTGAGGGGTTGTGGGTTTCGCCGATAAAAGAGTTAAGATGAGCTCCATGCCAGTTCCTTTAATCATAGGTAATAGCTATGGGAACAGACAAAACGTTCAGGAAATTAAAAATATTTGTGTGAATAAACCCCAAAAAAAAAGAACGCGCATTTTGAATTAGTTGTGCAAAACGTCAAGTAGGTGCCTGCATATTTCCTTAGGGAAAATTCCAAGCGGTTAATATATTCAAATTTTAAAATGGTTGTTTACGTACATACGTACGTACGTAAATTTACACATAATATTCGCTACGTGGGTTTACGTTTTACACACATTGTATCATAAATATTTAAATAGGTACATATAAAAAAACCTTGGGAGATTCTCTTTGAGAAATCGAAAAATTTATAAAACAAATGGCCTTAGATTATCTTAAATTTAAATAATGCCAGAGGCGGGTCGCAGTAAACTTTAAACCAAGTAGATATGTATAAGTAGTAAGTGAAAACCGTGGTAGTTCGGGGGCTACAAGACGCTAGCCGTAAGTATGCCGCCGCCACCAATTAAATTGTTAATTGCATATTAAGTACCGATTTACGACGTGCTTAACGGTGAAGGAATACATCGTGAGGAAATCTCAATGTATGAGAAAATACACAGTCCCATAGCCCCCTTGTTTGTGACATGCCAAACACACCTAGCAGCGGAACGTACATACATGCTATTATATAGGCTGAATTTTATATATGTACTATGAGATCATGGAAAAAAACGGGGTAATAATAGTAAATGCAGTTCTTACTTCAAAATATTTCACAAATAAAGTAGTTCTACTTCTTATCCTAGTTTGAGTTAGTACCACTTTTTTCTAAGATAAAATACGCAAAGATGCAATATCTCTTCGCAGCGCCAGTGAATCGAGCAGATCGAAATGGACTCGGTCGTCGACGATTCGAGTCGCTCTGCGCTGGATGCAGTCATGTGGAAGGAGCTGGCACTGGGGAGCCCCTGCCCAGAGATGGGAACAGTATTCCATGTGAGGCCGAACCTGCGCCTTGTAAAGTTGCAGGCGGTGTGCCGGCATGAAATACTGTCCCGCTCTGCTGAGCACGCCAAGCTTTTTAGAGGCCAATTTGACCTTCTCTTACAAGTGACCACGAAACTGCACGTCACTCGATATGTCGACTCCGAGGATTCCGATACTGGCTGAGGCAAGAAGGGGAGTGCCTTGAAACTGAGGAGATACGACATAGGGTTTCTTGTTAGCGGTAAACGCGCAAACTT